TTACGCGCCGGCCGCGCGACCCCGCTCCCCCCCGCTCCCCCCCGCTCCCCCCCGCACCCCGGGCCGGGGCCCGCGGCCGGCCGCGCGCCCCCGCTCCCCCCCGCTCCCCGGGCCGGGGCCCGCGGCCGGCCGCGCGCCCCCGCTCCCCCCCGCTCCCCGGGCCGGGGCCCGCGGCCGGCCGCGCGCCCCCGCTCCCCGGCCCGGCCGCGGGCCCCCGCTCCCCGGGCCGGGGCCCGCGGCCGGCCGCGCGCCCCCGCTCCCCGGCGGCCGCGGGCCCCCGCTCCCCGGCCCGGGGCCCGCGGCCGGCCGCGCGCCCCCGCTCCCCGGCCCGGGGCCCGCGGCCGGCCGCGCGCCCCCGCTCCCCGGCCCGGGGCCCGCGGCCGGCCGCGCGCCCCCGCTCCCCGGCCCGGGGCCCGCGGCCGGCCGCGCGCCCCCGCTCCCCGGCCCGGGGCCCGCGGCCGGCCGCGCGCCCCCGCTCCCCGGCCCGGGGCCCGCGGCCGGCCGCGCGCCCCCGCTCCCCGGCCCGGGGCCCGCGGCCGGCCGCGCGCCCCCGCTCCCCGGCCCGGGGCCCGCGGCCGGCCGCGCGCCCCCGCTCCCCGGCCCGGGGCCCGCGGCCGGCCGCGCGCCCCCGCTCCCCGGCCCGGGGCCCGCGGCCGGCCGCGCGCCCCCGCTCCCCGGCCCGGGGCCCGCGGCCGGCCGCGCGCCCCCGCTCCCCGGCCCGGGGCCCGCGGCCGGCCGCGCGCCCCCGCTCCCCGGCCCGGGGCCCGCGGCCCGCTCCCCGGCCCGGCAGAGAAATGTAGTGGGTGTGTTGAGGGGATGAAGATCGTGGTGGATGTTGGTGGTTATAAGCTCACGTGAGCAATTTTCACTTAATTAATTTGGTCATTTTGATAAAAATACAATTTCACTGCTTTGTCATGTGCTTTCCGTGATGTTGCAAATAGATATGAAGAAGTCGGTTGAATTCAAATTGAGTGTCAGCGATGCATCCGTAATCGTCAAACAAAAATGAGAGGTGAGCAAGACGAAAATAAACCTTTGTGTCTTTGGAATGTCAGGAATGTAGTGCAGCAACGAGAATCGATTTCTGACCCTCTCCATAACATAAAACTTACTAAAAACAAGGCTACATCGGACGAAAATGTGTGGACTATTTAACTCCCCAAACACGTGTCTTGACAATACTCCAGCTGTCAGCAGGCTTCAGAACTTGTCTACCCTAGACAAAAATATACTCCCTGTCTGCGTACTCAGACGAGTTATAAGCCCCTAGTCTTATCATTCAGATGAACAAAAATGCTTTATCTGACAAATTATATGAGCATAAATTACTGGTCTGAAAAATCATATGAACGTGTCTGAAAATCATACCATCAGACGAAATTCGTCTAATAACCAGAGCCCTGATGCAGAGCATTTTTTTTTTTCATCCTTGCACGGTGGTATGGTGCGGAATGTACAATATTAAAAGTTAAAGAAGCATTTTAGTCCATTGTCTCGTTGCATCTTCGTTCATGAGAAATGAGGCACTTATTTTGTATTTGTTTCTTTTTATTTTGTATTTGTTTCTTTTCGTGTCTTTGATGGTACAGAGGATGACATATAGCATTTGTGAAGCGGACTGGAAAGTCTTTGAACGTATCAAGAAAAGACGTGTATCATCATGATGAAAAATGAGAAGGAATATTCCACAAACAAGTTTACGTTTATAACAGCTTACATGTGCAAGTGCATCCACAAACGAGTTTACGTTTATAACCGCTTACATGTGCAAGTGCATCCTGTTTTTTATGACGTTTACAATGCGTTGCGATCAATGTTTAAATGCGAGCAATTTTGTTACTAAGGAATAATGTAATATGATATGTGTGCGTTGTTTTTTGTAACTTGTACTTGTTCTAGTGCAGCTGAGTTCATCGCCATCGATGATCCAATACTGCTCGGAGATTTCATGATTGATTCACCGAAACCTAAGGATAGGTGGAACCGACGGGTAGAAAAATGAATAATCTACCACAGCAAATTTACATCTGTCGGGTCTAGTCATTTGTTGGAGGACCATATCCATGACAATATCTACCGCTTTCTCTGTTATAATCAAGCGATGAAGAAAGTTGAAGCGATGTCGGGGTAGTATTCACATACACCACAGAAAGAGGTCAATCTTGTTACTATTCAACTGATGGTAAAGCTTGGCGGACTGCCTACATCACATCTCATACAGTAACTGTCAATCTTGTTCCGTTGGATTTTAGGTAGACGAATGTACTTTGTGAATGATTTGTTTATTTTTCTAGTGTTTCTATTAATTTGTGTTATTATTTTTAATGTGTTTTTTTCCCCACTACAATCTTCCTCCATTTTTTGCATGCTTTCTGTTGTTGTTCTTGGTTCTACCCCCACTTCATGCAGAACTTGGGAGGCTGAGGTGGAACGGTTAATTCCTCCAGAGGTTGTGGTCATCGTATTGAAAAATGAAGTGGAAACTGCTTGTGCCTTTTTGATATAGTTTGAGGGAAAAAATGTATTGTTTACTCGAATGTATATTCTATACATAAATGTTTAACATTGATTCAACTGTTTTATTACATGATTATTGTACTTCACCACAAATGTCAATGATAAAGGGCAGTGGAGATGGTTAAAGCGGCGATACACATTCTAAAATGGGTCTTTTGAATATAAGAAACATAATATTTGAAAAGGAACAACTAAATTAGAGGATATTAACCAGTTGTATATTTGCATATGACGAATAAGTTAGTGACAATTTTAACTTACAGCTCGTAAATCATCGACCACCGTAAACACGAAATATCATAGGGTGCGCTGGCTTCGCAGGCTTCGCCGTCGGATCTCCCGAAGAGGCCTCTTGGCACTCTGGATGATGCTGCAAAGGTCTCCCTGCAGGAGCATTTATCTGCTCTGAAGGTTAACGGGCTTAAGGACATGGGTGTGGATGACAATGAGATACAGCAACCGCAGCCGGGCTCGTCGACAGCAACGGACATTGATCCTGCGTCTGCAGATCCTGCGATCGGGAACGCGGGGAGCAACAATTATACCACCGAGGAGGAATTGTGGGACAGTGACGACGATGATGACTTTGATCCTGCTGCTGTCAACCTCCTTTTGCCTCAAGTCAGCTTCCCGATCACGCTCCTTATCCCTGTCAAGTGGAAAAGTGAGGTCCCTAAGCTGAAGCCAACGGTCATCGCTCACCTTCACTTCTGGAGGTCCTCGCTCACGGCTGACGCATTGACTACTACGCAGTATCAGGTTCTACTGCCAACGCACCTGATGAAGAAGCGGTACTGCAGGCTTCAGGTTACCTTTCAGCACGCGAAGGATGCGGAGTTCGTCCGGATGCGGTCAATTGAACATGACATCGGGAAGGGTATCACTCTTCAACTTGACTGGCAGCACCCCGAGAACGCGCTTCACAAGCGCGAGCGTCAGCTGAACCCGGACACGGTTGAGGTGGTGTTGAAGTCGGTTCCGGCTGGCGTCTCTCCTGAGTTGATCCGCAAAATGCTGGTTGAAGTTCCCCTGCTTAAGAAAGGGAAAACGGCTTTTAACAAAGGTGTGGGTTTTCACAGAGTGCAGGACCCTGTCACCGGAATGGACACGGATAAGGTGCGGGGGTTGGTTTTCCAGCATAACAACGACGAGTCCCCATGGCGTCACGCTATCGCGGACTTGTCAAACCCTGGGCGGAAGCTGCTCGTGCATTACCCGGCGCTTACCTGTGATCTCTGCAACGGACAGCACATGACGCAGTATCACAACGCTTACGTCACAGAGCGACAGTCCAACATCGGCAAGTGGACCCTGACTGTCAGGAAGGTCCATGAGATAAACGGTTTCATTGCAGATTCAAATTTCTCATCGCTCTTACTTACTTCTCTCTTCTCTCACCGCACCACTGACGATTCGATCCGCTCTCCCTCCTACAGCTGCATCGCTCAAAGTCTCCACCCAACTGAAAGACGTTCTCAAAGACCCCGCAATAGTCTTTACCTCCACATGGGGGTCGCGGGAGGACTGGGTGTGCGTGGTTGCTGCATGCGACAAAGCCCAAGGCACTAGCTTCGAGACGGCATCGATCCACGCTCGAGAAGGCGAAATCGGCGCCCCTACTGCGGGCGGCCGAGCACACATACTGGAAAATCTGCGGGACAAACGGGAACAGAGTTGTGGGGAGGCTCGGGAAAGTCGACGACGAAGGGGTTTTTGCAGAGCACCAGGAGGGCCACACGGTGGAGTTTGGGCTGCAGAGTGGGGTACCGATGGCGATGCAAGACAGTCTAGTATTAGGGCCGCTGGGGGAGGCGCGAACTAGGCTACTACAATCTGAACTGTGCAAAAAAGGGGAGCTGGTGGCGCTGAAGCGCATAAGAAAGGGTTTGGTTGGCTCGGCTGACACGGTGAAACAGCAGCGGCGCTGGGAAGGGCAAGGGAGGGTGATCGAGTGGGAGGGAGTTATTCGATAGAGGGACTCCCTCGCCACCCCTGCCCGAGCAAGGGAAATTTTGTTGCGGCTGCACTGCAGGAACCTACAGGTGGGCACTAGGCTACAGTTTCTGAGGAGCAGGGTCTGCTTCCCACACTGCCAAAAAGAGGAGACACCAGAACATTGCTTGTTCGGGTGCCCGGCGATCCAGAAGGTGCTGCATCTGCTGGGGCAAGGGCTGACGGAAATGAACCCGAGTCTCCAGTGGCATGGTTTGGAGGATATGCTCTTCATGCAGAGGAGCACGAGGTCCGGTTTTCCGGAGGGGTCCCTCATTGCAACCACGCTGCACCAAGTGTGGCTGGAGAGGTGCAACGTGTCCCTCAAGAAGGTCAAGAAGTTTCAGACAGGGAGGGAGATGCGACAGATCGCGGTGAATTTCGTCGCACATGCAAGGACTTACTGTTTGGCGAGACAGTTGGCAGCAAGGAGACGAGGGGTGGTGTCCAGCGGCGGTGACAGTTGGTCTTACCTGGAGGCTGACGAGGCGGTAGTAATGCGGCGGATTTGCAGCACAGGGGAGCCGCTGACGTGGAAGCTTTCTTTCAGCTCCATTTGGAGCAACCCGAAGATGACGCACAAGCCGCCCTAAAAAGCTAGAAGGGGACCTGAGGTAGCAGGCTATCATGGCCCTCCCCTTCCTGACTCAGTTACGACTGCCAATGTTTGTATGCGCTTCAATACTGTATTCTGAACATAAAAAAAAAAACTCAGGATATTGATTGCAAGTGCTCATACCTCTACAGATGACGCCATACTTCTGTCGACAGATATGGTAGAGTTGACTGAATTCGAATTCCCCGCTCTCTTCGAACAATCTGCTACCTGCAAGCTACCTGCAAATGGTATGAATGGTACAAATAGAGGTGCAAATATGAGTCAAATTGGAAAGCATGAAAGACTCTTTCCTTCTCAGAGGACGCAAAACCAATGGAGCAACAAGAAAGAAACGGGTATGGTGGAAAAAAAGAAATTATTCACGCTAGGAAGTTATCATACCAGAGTGTTAATTCATGTACCTAAGTGTCTTTTAGGATCACTTCCGGGAAATTTGTGTGTGAAACTGGACATTCTATATGAAGGAGAGAAAAATGCTCAGCATCACAACCACATTATCTGGACCGTAATATGTGAAAGCTTACTTTCGACTAAGGTGTTGTTCGCCCCTCTGAGAGAATGTGAACGCTTGGGTAGGCACTTCCCACAACGAATATGGAGGCGTGGCAAGCATGCAGATTCGATGGGATTTAAGTAGGCGCGTGGGCTCCCTCTTGTGTGTGTGTCTACGAAACAGCAGATCTCCCCGATCATTATCGTCACTTCCATTTCCCAAGTTACCTCCCTCCTCAGCTTCCGTAGCAGGCGCCGAGTAACACGCCATAAGTCTGTATTCCCGCTTCTACCGCGTAAGGCAGTATTCGCACCTTCGACGCGACCTCGGCGTCCTTGACCTCGGCTTCCTTGCCTTGGCGTCGTCGCGTTTTACGCCCTATCCTGGACAGGCGCCGGACCTCGTGCTGGAGTGGTTGGTCCTGGACGCGGCGTGGAGAGTGCAGGCGGATTCCACCATTAACGACCCTCCTCCCTGTGTGACGATCGAACCTGCGGGCGAGAGCACTCTCCGTCGCGCATGCATGGGGAGCGACGAAGTCCTCCGCTGTCGTGGCTACAATTCCCGGCTCCCGCTTTCTCGCCCGCGCTGGAGCGTGAGTCGCGGAGTCAGGCGTCGTCCCCACTGCGCCGGTCCCCGAGGCGAGAATCTCCCAGGCGCGTGTCCCCGTGCCCATCAACTCCTCCGCGTGGCTCCCATCCCCGTCTCCCGCTTACTGGCCCGCGCTAGAGCGTGGGTCGCGGGGCCAGGCGTCGTCCCCACTGCGCCGGTCCTCGATGCGAGAACCTCCCATGCGCGTGTCTTCGTGCTCATCAACTCCTCCGCGTCAGTCTCCGCACTAGCGTTATCGCGGAGGCGAGAGTGGTCAAACCTGATCGCGGCGGCCAGGACGTGGGCTATGAGGACCAATGATCGAGTTCGGGAAAGAGATTCGATTCGGCGGAATCACGCATACGCAAATTCACGCGAAATTATTCGAAATGAAACAAAATTCGGTGCATGCATTGAGTGGCGAACCCATTGAATACAAACCAGCGCATAGAAGCTCGGCTGTAGCGTCGTCTTTGCCGATGTAGCTGCTGAGAATCTTCCGGTCATTTGTCGTGAATGGAACGCCCTGAGACGGCGTCTCGGCATGTTGATTGTCACGCAACCATGCAGCACACTATCCAAGGTTGTGGTTTAAGCCTACCGTGCACATGCTTCCTGTTAAGTGGTTGAACGCCGCAGCGCAAGAAAGGTGACGTTGTGCGAGCAGAACCTGGGTTGTGTTGCTCACAACCCTAAACACGGGTTTGTTGGCGCGGGTGGTGGGCCGTGGAAGCGTCAGTTTGTCCCGCTGAACATTCCGCGCTTTCCTTTTGTAGCGGGGACGCAACACGTCTCCACGGCGAACCTGCGCTAGATGTGGGTTCTCTCGGAATGCATGAGGGCGCTTGTACAAATTCTTCACTCCATGCGTGCATCGATGTCGATTGATAGACTGAGCCCACTTGAGCATAGTTTTACCGGGCGGCGAATGAGTTCTTTGCCCTCGTGACAATACTGCAGGTTGCACACGTCCCGGGTGTAGACCCGGCCAGCCTGCTGGCTTGCGCAGTCCTGGATCTAAAGAACGCAGCGGCGTCGGTGGAAGGCACACTTGTAGACGCTTTAGCCGCGTTCGTGTTAGTGGCCTGACACATGTGGCATACATTGCGCAGAACGCTAGTTGTGCTGGAGGCGGACCGCATGTAGGCGCCTCCCCCCCCCCCCCCACTGCTTTCGCACGTAGACTCGTTCCATTGATGCTTGCTATTTGCTAACCGGTGCTTCTCCCATTGTGATCTTGTGATGTATTGAAGTGTCCTCCTGTTGTCTTGCCACACAATTTGCGCCGGCGAAGGGCAATTGAACCAACTGAATTACGAGGGAGAAAAGGCAGCAGATGACTTCAAAAATTATGGCAGAGGGCAGTAGACAAAGGGCAGAGGGCAAAGGGTAAGAGGCTATTCCTTTCTTGCTCTCTCGAACGCTGAAATGTTCTGAACCAACTCAATGATGAGGGAGGAGAGGCAGCAGAGGACTTTAAAACCTGAAGCCTGAATTACAAAAACTGAGTCAACGCTTGGTTTGGTAGGTCTGTGGTTCGGGCAATATGAGGTGCGGAAGGATTGCGAAAGTTGGCTGGTTATCGAAACATGATGCGACTCTCCCGTGAGTCAACGAGAGGACATCAGACATCGCAACTCAACAGTTCGCATACAATCTGCTTACAACCTCAGAGAGCTGGAGCAGAGTAAAAAACCAGTGCGACAGAACAAGCTAACAAGTCAGACACTACTAGCTTTTAGGATCCAAGCATCGCGCACACCAACTAGGCATATCAAGTGAACACAATTTAGGGACGATCGAATAGTAGGTGCAGCGCGTATATGCAATCGAAGGGAAACGCAGGCGCTGACTACGAGTGTGAAGCACATAGAATATGGTCGGCAAGAGAGATATTAGCGCTTTGCCCACCTCGTTTTCCCCGCTCGTCGCCCTCGCTTCCCCCGCCCGTCGCCCTCGCTCTTCCCGCCCACCGCCTTCGCCGCGCCCGTCGCCTCGCTTCTTCCCCGCCCGTCGCCTTCGCTATCCCCGCCCGCCCTCGCTTCTCCCCCCGTCGCCCTCGCTTCCCACGCCCGCCGCCTTCGCTTCCCCCACCCGTCGCTCTCGCCCCTTCCCCCCCTACCACCCTCGCCTCGCGGGTCGCCATCGCCGCCTCCCCGTCCGTCGCCCTCGCTTTCCCCGTCCGTCTCCCTCGCTTTCCCCCGTCCGTCGCCCTCGCTTTCCCCCTCCCGTCGCCCTCGATTTCCCCCTCCTGTCAACCTCGCTTTCCCCCTCCCGTCGACCTCGCTTTCCCCCTCCCGTCGACCTCGCTTTCCCCCTCCCGTCGACCTCGCTTTTCCCGTCCGTCGCCCTCGCTTTCCCCGTCCGTCGCCCTCGCTTTCCCCCGTCCGTGGCCCTCACTTTCCCCCTCCCGTCGCCCTCGCTTTCCCCCTCCGGTCGACCTCGCTTTCCCCCTCCCGTCGTCCTCCTTTTTGCGGAGGCCTCTTTCCCCCTTCTCACTCTCTTCCCCCCTCCTCACTCCATTTCCCCCTGCTCACTCTCTTCCCCCCTCCTCAATCTGTTCCCCCCTCCTCAATCTGTTCCCCCCTTGTTCACTCTCCCCCCTTCCTCACTCTGTTTCCCCCTGCTCACTCTCTCCTCCTCACTCTATCCCCCCCCTTGCTCACTCTCGTTCCCCCTGCTCGCTCTCTTCCCCCCTGCTCACTCCTTTCCTCCCCCCTCACTCTGTTTCCTCCTCTCTCTCTCTTCCCCCCTGCTCACTCTCTTCCCCCCTTCTCACTCTCTCCCCCCCTCCTCACTCTGTTTCCCCCTGCTCACTCTCTCCTCCTCACTCTATTCTGCCCTGCTCTATTCCCCCCCGCTCTATTCCCCCCTGCTCTATTCCCCCCTGCTCTATTCCCCCCTGCTCTATTCCCCCTTCTCTATTCCCCTGCTCTATTCCCCCTGCTCTATTTCCCCCTGCTCTACCCTGCTCTATTCCCCCCTGCTCTATTCCCCCCTGCTCTATTCCCCCCTGATCTATTCCCCCCTGCTCTATTTCCCCCTGCTCACTCTCTTCTCCCTTGCTCTCTCTCTCTTACCCCGTCCTCATTCCGTTTCCCCCTTGCTCACTCGGTTTCCCCATTGCTCACTTAATTTCCCCATTGCTCACTCTGTTTCCCCCTGCTCACTCTCTTCCCCCCTGCTCACGTTCTTTCCCCCGTCGCCCTCGCTTTCCCCCTGCTCACTCTCTTTCCCTCACTCTCTTTCCCCCTGCTCGCTCTCCTCCCCCCTTCTCACTCTCTCCCCCCCTCCTCCCTCTGGTCCCCCGTGCTCACTCTCTCCTCCTCACTCTGTTCCCTACTTGCTCGCTCTCTTCCCCCATTCACACTCGCTCCCCCCTCCTCACTCTGTTCCCCCCTGCTCACTCTATCCTCCTCACTCTGTTCCCCACTTGCTCACTCTCTTCCCCCCTGCTCACTCTCTTCCCCCTTGCTCTCTCTCTTCCCCCCTCCTCACTCCGTTTCCCCTTTGCTCACTCGGTTTTCCCATTGCTCACTCTGTTTCCCCCTGCTCACTCTCTTCCCCCCTGCTCACTTTTTTTCCCCCGTCGCCCTCGCTTTCCCCCTGCTCACTCTCTTTCCCTCACTCTCTTTCTCCCTGCTCGCTCTCCTCCCCCTTTCTCACTCTCTCCCCCCCTCCTCCCTCTGTTCCCCGTGCTCACTCTCTCCTCCTCACTCTGTTCCCTACTTGCTCGCTCTCTTCCCCCATTCACACTCTCTCCCCCCCTCCTCACGCTATTCCCCCCTGCTCACTCTCTCCTCCTCACTCTGTTCCCCACTTGTGTTGAAGTTAGGTGAGTGGCAGCCATGGCTAGTGAGTGAAGTAACGAGAGGAAAAAGTTGCACTAGAGACTGTGTCGAGAGACATTTGAAAGCTAGGGTTGGGAAACCCCAACTGAACCTAAGGCGTGTTCAATGCAGAGACAAACTGCAAAGTGAACCTAAGGCGAACCAGAAATGAAACTAAGTCTAAAAGTGGCCGAAAAATAATATAAGGCCAAAATGAAATGCAGAGCGAACACTAGCCTACTCCAACACACCCCCGGGCTAGGTGAAGCTCTGGAACAGAACACCTAGCGAACCGGAACACCCCCTGAAGTGGCGAGACGAGTGAGACCAAGCGCGCGGACGTAGAAACGATGCGGCGCACGAAGGAGTGCCTTGGTGAAAATGTCAGCAAGGTTGGCGTCAACGGCCACCTTGCGAAGGCAGAGGAAACCAGACTGCACCAGCTCGCGCACAAAGTAGTAGCGGATAGACAGGATTTTCAGTGAGATGAATCATGCTCGCACTGTCACAGGAAAGCGTCACAGACTCCTGAGAGTGACCAATCTCAGCAAGGAGAAAGGAGAGCCAGCGAGCCTCCTGAGCCGCCAATGTGCCAGCGTACAACTCTGCCTCACAGGTGGAAAGACAGACAGAGGATGAACGAGTGGAGCGCCAGCTGATGAGACCACTGCCAAGAGTAAAACCATAACCCTGAGAGGAGCGGCGATCAGGGCGAGAATCAGCGTAGGAGGAATCACTGTAACCGGAAAGAACGGGGGGGGAAGAGCCACCAAGAGTGAGTGCAAGATCAGATGTAGCGCGAAGATAGCGGAGAACGCGCTTGGCTGCCGCCCAGTGCACGTTAGTGTGGCGACCAAGGCCAACAAAGCGAGAGAGGACACTGAGGGGATAAGTAGATCTGGGCGAGTGCACATCATAGCATACATGATTGACCCAACGAGCTCTGGATAGGGTCGCAATTCTGAGGAGGGAGCAGGGACGGCAGGGGCAGTGAGCTGATGGTTAAACGGAAGAGGGGTGGAGACCGGTTTGGCCTGGGACATCTCGAACCGCTGGAGGATGGAGTGGATGTAGAACGACTGAGAGAGAGAGATGGTGCGGGCAGCACGATCGCGGCGAATCTCCATGCCAAGATAGTGACGGAGCTCGCCGAGATCCTTGCACAGAAGACGCGCCTGCAGGGCCTTCTTGACAGCAGCCAAATCGGCAGAATCCTCAGCAAGCAGCACCAAGTCGTCCACATAGGCAAGAATGTAAAGCCTGTGAGGGGAAGTGCGAATGAAAAGACTGGGATCGGAGGTAGAGGTGGAGAAACCAAAAGAGTGAAGAGTGGAGGCAAGCTTGGCATGCCACTCGCGGGGAGCTTGCTTGAGGCCATACACAGGGCGCTTCAGCTCCCAAATGGTGCCTGGAGGAAAGGGGCGAGGAAAACCGGTGGGGCGCTCAAGGAAACTGCGCTCATGAAGCCCGCCCTGAAGGAAAGCATTGGAAACATCCATAGAATGGGTCTCCCAATCCCAGCGAGCACCTAGGTCAAGAAGGAGGCGAAGGGTGGGGAGACGAACAGTGGGAGAGTAAGTGGCAAAGTAGTCAATGCCTTCACGCTGGGTAAAGCCTTTGGCGCAATAACGGGCTTTGAAGAGAGGAAGCTCCCCAGGCAACTGCTTGACACGAAAGACCCATTTTCCCTTGACAATGGTGGCACCAGGGGGGGGGGCAGAGTCGACGTAGGAATTGGTACGAGTGAACGCCTCACACTCAGCAATGATGGCAGCCATCCACTCAGTGGCGTGAAAGCTAGAAACGGCCTCGGAATAGGACTGTGGGATGGGAATGGCGGCAGTGTCGGCAGAGAGAAGAGTGGGTGAATTGCTGAAGTTGCCGATGGTGACACAGAGAAGAGGGGAGACAGGGTGAACAGAGAAGAGTTCCTCAAACCGATCTTCAAGAAGATTGGGGTCCTGAGAAGAGGATAGACGAGTGAAAAGAGCGGAGTGTTGAAAATTGGACATTGCGCGGGTCATGGAGCGAGTGAGGCGCGGAGAGGGTGGGGGAAGGGGAACAGAAGGAAGGGAAGCATCAGGAGGTGGCGATGGAGAGGGCATGGGAGCTGAAGAGGAAGAGGCAGGAGGAGAGTTGCCTGAGGTGACGGCGGAAGGAGGGGCGGAGGGGGCAGGTGGGAGAGGAGGAGCAGGGGCGGGGGGAAGGGGAGGTGGGGAGGGAGTAGCAGAGGGAGCAGCGGAGGAACGCGGATAAAAGTTGGACCAATGGAGAGAAGGAGTAGGAGGGGTGGGAGGGGGAGTGAGGAATGGAGTCTCGTCAAAGATGACATCCTGGCTGCGAATGAGCTGCTGAGAGGAGGGAGCATAGAAAAGGTAGCCAGGACAATCAGAGTTGATGCCAATGAATGCACAGTGCCCGATCAGCTGGATTGACGAGGACATGAGCGACACAGCCCCACACCCGAAGAGGGCGAGCAGAGGGCTGGCGGCCCGTCCAGAGCTGAAAGGGGGTAATGGTGGGGCGAAGGGGATGAGGGCGAAGGTTGGAAAGAAGAGTTGCGTGAACAAGAGCATAGCTCCAAAGAGAGCGGGGAGCGGAAGCATGGGTGAGGAGACATCGAGTGATCTCCATGAGAGTGCGATTGCGACGCTCGGCAACACCATTCTGTTCAGGAGAGTGCGGGAGGGTCGAGGTTTGGCGAATGCCATGAGAGGAGCAGTATGAGGAGAGAGAATGATTAAATAACTCGCCACCACCGTCGGAGTGGAAACGCGCGACAGGACGCGCGAAGTGAAGGCGAGCCTGTTCAGCCCAACGAATGATGAGGGAAGGGGCGTCAGATTTGGCACGAAGGGGATAGACAGTGGCAAAGCGAGAATGGTCATCAACGAGAAGGAGAAAGTAACGATGACCTTGTCGGGAGGCAATTGGGGAGGTACCCCAAAGGTCCATATGCACGAGATCAAGAGGCTGGGGGGATGCAGAAGGGGAAGAAGGATGAGGAGACTGAGAAAGCTTGGCTTGAACACAATGAGTGCATAGAGGTGCGGGAGAGGGAGGAAGGGGCGGGAGAGAGGAGGGAAGATCATGAAGCAGCTTCGAATGGACCATGCTGCGAAGGAGAGGGAAGTTTGGGTGGCCGAGACGATGATGGAGAAGAAGGGTAGGTTGGGTGAGAGAGCGACAGTCGCAAGAGGAAATGGGTGGAGCGGAAGTAGGGGAAGTGTGATGCGCAGACGAGGGGAGAGAAACACGGAGGGTATAGAGACTAGAGGTAGGGGAAAGGGTGAAACGAGCGAGATGCCGGTCTTGGTAATGAAGATCACAGTAGAGTTCACCTGCGGGGAAACTCGCTCGCACACCAAGGCATTGGAGGGCGGAGAGGGAGAGAAGGTTATGACGACAAGAGGGAACATAGAGGCCAGTGACTGCGCCAGAGGGGGAGGCAGGACAGGGAAGAGAGGAGGTGCCAGTGCATGTCAGGGTCATGGTCTCCCCAGCTCCATAAATAACGAGAGGGCGGGGAAAGGAACGAAGAACACCGGCATCACGAAAAACAGAGTCAGTAGCACCACTGTCGAGGACAAAGTCCAAGGTGCGAGGGAGAGAGAGAGTAGCAACTGTAGAGCAGGGATATGGAGAGACAACGCTAGGAGCAGAAGGAAGAAATGGCACGGCAAAGCGAGGGTCCATGAGAGGAGAAGCACCATGAATGCTAGCATAAGAAGGCATGGTCACGCTGAGAGCAGAGGGAAAAGCATCAGCACCAGGAGTCGCGACGGAAAGCGATGGCGGGGCAGGGGACTGGCGACGCTGGTGAGACTGTAGAAACGAGACAGGAGGAGAGGTCCAAGTGGGAGAGAGGGGAGCGGATGACGCATAGGGTAGGGGAAGGAGGGGTAAAGGATGAGGGACAGCAGCAGGAGAGAGAGGGCAGTGCCGGCGAGGACGAGAGGGAGTCGTAATAATGGGCGCCATATGAGGGGAAGGAGACGGAAGCAGAGCAGTTGAGGGGAGAAATAAGAGGCGGAGGAATATGGCGAAGAAGTCTGCTGCTGAGCAGCTGAGGGGAGAAATAAGAGGAGGAGGAATAATCGGCGGAGTAGTCTGCTGCTGAGCAGCTGAGGGGAGAACTAAGAGGCGGAGGAATATGGGCGGAGTAGTCTTCTGCTGCGCTGCTGAGGGGAGAAATAAGAGGCGGAGGAATATGGGCGGAGTAGTCTGCTGCTGCGCCGCTGAGGGGAGAAATAAGAGGCGGAGGAATATTGGCGGAGTAGTCTGCTGTTGCGCCACTGAGGGGAGAAATAAGAGGCGGAAGAATATGGGCGGAGTAGTCTGCTGCTGCGCCGCTGAGGGGAGAAATAAGAGGCGGAGGAATATGGGCGGAGTAGTCTCCTGTCGCGCCGCTGAGGGGAGAAATAAGAGGCGGAGGGAAAGTGAGAGAGGGAGCACGACGACGAGACAAGGTCAGCAACCAGCTGCGGCAGATGGAGAGAGGAGAGAGGCGGAGGAGAGAGCAAGATGGGGAGGGGAAAGTAGGGAGAGAGGAGAGGAGGAGGAGGGTGAAGGGGCGGATGGTATGGAGAAGGGTCTTGATAGAGGGGAGAGGAGCGGAGAGAGGCAGAGCCACCAGGCGAAATCAGCAGCCAGTTGCTGCAGCTGAGGTGAGATAGGAGGCGGAGGAAAGGAGAAGGTTGTAGAGGGAATGAGGGGAGAAAGAGGAGGAGGAGGGGAGTGAAGAGACGAATTTCGTAGAGGGGAGTGGTGATGGCGAACACCAGAAAGCAGAAAGGCGCGCATGGAGAGGGGGGGAGGAGGCGCGCGACAGCGGCGCACCCCGCGCGCAACGAGGGGAGCGGAGGGACGCGCGGGTGAGGGACGAGGGGCGGGCGGAAGCGGGAAGGAGGGCGCGCGCGACGGCAGTATGGGCCGCGCGCGACTAAAGGGAGGAGGGAGAGAGGGCGCGTGACGAGCAGCAGGTCGCGCGCTACTGCTGAGGGAGGTCGCGCGCTACTACTGAGGGCGGATCCGCGATTTGGGGAGAAAAAAAAAAGATCGAGAGAAAAAAAAAGGTAAAATCGACTAGCTAAGGGGTAGCGCGGAATAAGCTTAGGGCCCGGGAAGGTACTAAGAGATGTAGATGATGAGGAAACGCCTAGGATTTCGCTCTGAATACCATGTTGAATTTAGGTGAGTGGCAGCCATGGCCAGTGAGTGAAGTAACGAGAGGAAAAAGTTGCACTAGAGAAAGTGTCGAGAGACATTTGAAAGCTAGGGTTGGGAAACCCCAACTGAACCTAAGGCGTGTTCAATGCAGAGACAAACTGCAAAGTGAACCTAAGGCGAACCAGAAATGAAACTAAGTCTAAAAGTGGCCGAAAACTAATATAAGGCCAAAATGAAATGCAGAGCGAACACTAGCCTACTCCAACAACTTGCTCACTCTCTAAACCCCTGCTCACTCTCTTCCCCCTTGCTCTCTCTCTTCCCCCCTCCTCACTCCGTTTCCCCCTTACTCACTCGGTTTCCCCATTGCTCATTCTCTTTCCCCCTGCTCACTCTCTTTCCCCATTGCTCATTCTCTTCCCCACTGTTCATTCTCTTTCCCCTTGCTCATTCTGTTTCCCCCTGCTCATTCTGTACCCCCCTGTTCACTCCCTTCCCCCATGCCCACCCTCTTTCTTCCTGCTCGCTCCCTTTCAACATGCTCACTCTCTTCCCCCCTCCTCACTCTCTTTTCCCCCTGCTCACTGTCTCCCCTGCACTCTTTTTTTTCCTGCTCATTCTGTTTCCCCCCATGCAGTGTACAGGTGCCCAGCAACAGGTGTAGGGAGGGAACCACAAGTCTTGGTTTTTTGCTGCTGTGTATGCAGACAAGAGTGGGAAAAGGCATATTATTGAGTAACTTTCTATTTTACTAAATTGTTGCACTCCGTAGGTGGTCAATGGTCACACTACTCCATGGATCAAAGTTTAGTTATAATAATAAACATACAACATCGGCATGGCTACCGTATGTGTCATACCTAGTGGTACTATCAAACAACCAACATTCCAGCAGGTAAGCATACAAATGAAGTAATGAAGGGAGGTAAAAAGTATGGGAGAAAGAAAAAAGTATGGGAGAAAGGATGAAGAATGTGATTGAGGGCAGAAGGGAGGAATGCAGGAAGGGAGGAAGTGATGAAGGGAGGAAGAGAGGCTGGGAGGACGAGGGGAAGGGAGGACAAGAAGCACCACGTCTGCCTCTGCTGCGTGAATCTGCCCACCGCCATCCGCCCACAGCGCCCCAAGCAGCTCCCTGGTGCAGAAAAGCACAAGGGATGAGGAGGTGCCGCAGGGCCGAGAGCGGTGTGGGAAACACCTGGAGGGGAAGGGGAGAAGATCGGATGGGGAAAGGACGGATGGGGAGGGATGAGGAGAGCATGGATGGGAAGAGGAGGGATGTGGTGAGGGTTGATGGGTTTGGGAGAGGAGGGGATGGGGAGAGGACAGGAGGGGGTGGGAAGAAGAGGGGATGGCGAGAGGAGGGGATGGAGAGAGGAGGGGACACGGTGACGAGGGAAGGGGAAAAAAACGGATGTGGATAGGAGGAGATGGGGTGAGGAGGAGATGGGGTGAGGAGGAGATGGGGTGAGGCGGAATGGGGTTAAGCGGAGATGGGGTGAGGCGGAGATGGGGTGAGGAGGAGATGGGGTGAGGCGGAGATGGGGTGAGGCGGAGATGGGGTGAGGCGGAGATGGGGTGAGGCGGAGATGGGGTGAGGCGGAGATGGAGTGAGGCAGAGATGGGGTGAGGCAGAGATGGGGTGAGGCGGAGATGGCCCCTCCCAGGGCGTCGCGTCCCCGACTCAGCTTGACGACGAGCCCGTAGTTGCGGTGGTGCGGCAGGTCGCACGCCCACACTCCTCTGCCCCACGTCCACCCCGTCCCTGGTGGCAGGGGATGGGGTGGGGTTGACGGGGGAGAGGCGGGGATGGTGACGCGGGGAGGGGGACAGAGGGCGGGATCCTCATGTTTTACAGCAACAGCATCAGGGATGGGCGGATGCGGGATTGGGAGGTTAGGGATGGGGAGGTGAGGGATGGGGAGAACAAGGGAAGGGGAGGTGCAGGATGGGGAGATGAGGGATGGGGAGATGAGGCATGTGGAGATGAGGCATGGGGTGGGGAGGCATGAGGAGATGCGGGATGGGGAGATGCGGGATTGGGAGATGAGGGATGGGGAGATGAGGGATGGGGAGGTTAGGGACAAGGAGGTGAGGGATGGAGAGATGAGGGATGGGGAGATGAGGGATGGGGAGATGAGGGATGGGGAGATGAGGCATAGGGTGGGGAGGCATGTGGAGATGAGGGATGGGGAGATGCGGGATGGGGAGATGAGGGATGGGGAGGTGAGGGACAGGGAGGTGAGCGATGGAGAGATGAGGGAAGGACGGCGTCCGTGGCGGACGTCGCGGCCCTTCCTCCCCCCGTCCATTTTTCTTCCCTCCCGTCGCCTCGCTCCGCCCGTCGCACTCCCCCGGCCCCCTGCCCGTCACCCACCCCGACGCGACTGTTCGCGTGTGCAGCGGCGGTCGCTGTGGGTGGGAGAGGGAGGAGGGGAAGGGATTGGTGGCGGAACTCTGTGGGGGGGAGTGGGAAAGGGGGAAGGGAGTGGCGGCGGAATGCTGTGGGGGAGAGAGAGGAAAAGGGGGAAGGGAGTGGCGGCGGAACACCAGCGATCACCGCCAGCACCAGCACCAGCTCCAGGGCCAGCCGCCAGCACCAGCACCAGCACCAGGGCCAGCCGCCAGCACCAGCACCAGCTCCAGGGCCAGCCGCCAGCACCAGCACCAGCTCCAGGGCCAGCCGCCAGCACCAGCACCAGCTCCAGGGCCAGCCGCCAGCACCAGCACCAGCTCCAGGGCCAGCCGCCAGCACCAGCACCAGCACCAGGGCCAGCCGCCAGCACCAGCACCAGCTCCAGGGCCAGCCGCCAGCACCAGCACCAGCACCAGGGCCAGCCGCCAGCACCAGCACCAGCTCCAGGGCCAGCCGCCAGCACCAGCACCAGCTCCAGGGCCAGCCGCCAGCACCAGCACCAGCTCCAGGGCCAGCCGCCAGCAGAGAACCCCACCAGCAGAGAACCCCGCCAGCAGAGAACCCCGCCAGCAGAGAACCCCGCCAGCAGAGAACCCCGCCAGCAGAGAACCCCGCCAGCAGAGAACCCCGCCAGCAGAGAACCCCGCCAGCAGAGAACCCCGCCAGCAGAGAACCCCGCCAGCAGAGAACCCCGCCAGCAGAGAACCCCGCCAGCAGAGAACCCCGCCAGCAGAGCACCACCCTCTGCCCTGCCTCTCCCCTCCCGCGGCTGCTACTGTGGGGGGTAGGTGGCGGGAGCGGGGGGGTGGGAGGGCTGGCTGCAGTGTGAAGGACAGGGCAGAGACAACTGTGGGTTGGGCAGGGGTGTGGAGGAAGGAAGGGAGGGAGGGGGTGCGGTTCCAGGGGGTGGCTGAAATGCGGGGTGAGGTTGAAGGACGGTGGTTGATTGGGGGTGCGGATGTGGGGGTTAGTAAGAGGGGACGCTGCGGCCACCCCCCCACCTCCTCTCCTCATCCCCCACTCAACCCCCCTTTCGTAAAAGGGGGTTAGTAAGAGGGGACGCCGCGGCCACCCCCCCACCTCCTCTCCTCATCACTCACTCACCTCCTCCTGTGTCCTCATCTCCTCTCCTCTCCTCTCTCCCTCTCGCCGCCTCCCCTCACGTACCCCTCTGCCGTCTCCCACTGCGCCAGCTATACCCCTTCAGGGGGTGTTGACTACTCTAGTTCCTACTGCAAGCAGGCTAAGGGGGTGTGTCAAAGTTATATTTAAGATATATCCTGCTTGCTGTAGTTACTGTAGTTATAGTTCTTTGCTGTTGGTGGTGCACCTCTTGTTTGTGTTTCTCGACTATATCTTGTATGCTTTGCTTTAGTGAAGCTAACTTGTTTGGTCAATTTCTCTCGACACTCCCTTAGCCTTGACCTCGACAATAGCTTGGCCTAGGCTACTAAGCCTAGGCCCTCCTTAAACCCGGTTACCCGCTTCGATAGTGTTTTGACAGCACCACGCAGTTGGTCTAGAAGATCGTCTATGCGCGGTATGGGGTATTTGTTTTTTACTGTCTGTTTGTTCAGTGCGCGGTAGTCGATGCACATCCGTAAACCGCCATCCGGTTTCGGAGTGAAGAGAACTGGTGCACCGTAGGGAGAGGTGGATGGGCGGATCAGTTGTCTGTCCAGTAGATACTCTATCTGCTTCTTCATGTCTGTTAGTTCCGTCGGACTCAGTCGGTATGGTGCACGTGAGACGGGTTTCGCACCTGGTTCCTCCACGATCTCGTGCTCGTGGGTGCGCGCTGGAGGTACTCCTGCAGGTAGGTCGTCGGGCATTATAGCTTTGTACTGCTCCAAGACCTCCTTCACTGCTGCAGGTAGCTCCGAACTCGGCTTCTCCTCCTCTGCTGCTGCCATAAAAAGTGCTAAGTAACCCGTATTACTCTCGTTCACCGTCTGTTCGAACCATGCCAGTGTCGTTTCAGGAACATCCCCTGTCTCCGTCCAGCTTCGCAGCTCCACTCGTTTCCCGTTGTTGTAGATGCACGCCTTCCTGTTGACCCAGTCGATCTTGGGGTTGAACCGCTTCAAGAAATCTCGCCCCAAGATGAAATCTAAACCCTTGATGTTCGTGATCGGCAACGTCGGCTTCCACCTCAGCGCCCCTATGTGCAGCTGCAGTGATGCTTCGCCGTGGATGGGAAGTTTCGTACCGTCCACCATCGTTGCCGTGAACTTGGTCTCCTCCGAAGGTTCTCCAATTTTCTCCAACGTCCCGCGGTCACACACTGAGTGGGACGCACCACTGTCCACCAGTGCCTGGAGGCGTCGTCCTTTGCATAACACCTCGAGGAGTAGTGGTTTCTGCTGCGCTGAGTAGCCAAAGATAGTCTCGTTAATAGGATCATAGGGTACATCAAAGAAATTACCATCCCTATTTCCTATACCTGACTCAGCACTTTTCACTTCCAACTTCACCTGGGGGGTAGGAGGATTTTTCCGAGGCTTGAACAACTTCTCCTGAGCCTGGAATTTTCCTCTAAGCTTTTGCAGCTGTGTAGGCTTCACCTGTGGGCAACGTGACGTTTTATATTCGCGCCATCATTTTCTCATTTTTTCGCCCGCTCCGAAGTCGCCACGTCGTCGGCCTTTTTTCCTTTTCGGATCTTTACGCGATCGCCAGGTCGGTCCGCGGCTACTGGCGATTCCCGTTTTTTTACTTCGGGGGTGCTGTACTGCTGCCACCCAGCAATGCCGTACGTGCTTTCTTCATTTTGTAGCACGACAGGATTTGATGTCCGGTTGCGCCGCAAAATTCGCATTTTGTCGGCTGCTGCTTCGCGTCAAATCTGTCGATATCCATCGGTTCGGTGAACGTGGGGGGTGCCGATCGCTCCGTGCCAAATGTACGGTTCGGCCCGTAGCGTCGTGTTTCGGGTTGACCACGCGTCAACGCGTCGTATCGTTCGGCTGCACGTACCATGTCGCGGTAGCTACCGTAGTTTGCGGCGATGACCTGTCGGCGAATCTCCATTTTTTACCCTTCCGTGTACGCTTGTATTTTCTCGCCTTCGGTCAGGTCGGTGATGCGATAAAAAGTTGCTCCATCTGCTGCGTGTACAGTGCGACACTCGCCAGTTGCTTGTGTCGGTGAATCTGTTGCCGCGCCATGTACACCGAATTTATCGGCTCAAAATTTTCGATAAGGTCTGACCGACACGAGCAACTGGCCACGTCACTGTAGTAAATCCACTCGAGTGCTGGTCCTCGCAACAGTGTCGCCGCGAGCCGAATCCTTGCTGCATCGTGTGTCGGGGTCGAACAGCCAATGGCCTCGAAACATATTTCGAGGGTCGCCACGAATCGTCGAACGTCTGATCCTCTCGTGCTCGGATCGAACGCTTCGGGGAGCCGCGGGCGAGCTGCTTCGAGGTTCGGCGAAGGTGGTGCCATCGGTTCGTGAAATTTCGGTGTCGTCGCCGCTGCTGCTGCTGCTGTCGCTGCTACGTTCGCTGCTGCATTTACTGCTGCTGTGGCGGCTACCGATTGGTTTGTCAGGAGGGCCTCGATTCGCCGGATCGCCGCCTGCGTCTGTTCCACGTCGGTGCGAAGGCTGTCATAAATATGCATTTATATGCTCTGGGCTGTAGTGGGGCACTCCTTATGGGGTACAGCCCAAATTTGGTTTTGCTATACAAACCCTGTACTGCTGTCATTCTAGTCATTCTTGTTTCCTATTTCTCACATGGTTTCAGAGCAGGTTCCCTAGTGGGAACGTTTTTTTTCTAAGGGCCCACCAACGATTTTTTCTCCTGCGCTGCCCGAAGCACGCTGCCGCGCCTGCCTGCCCTGTAGTGCGCCTCGCGCCTGCCTCACCCGCGCCCTTGCGCGCCCTGCCTTACGCGCGCCTGCCCTAAGCGCGCGTTCGCGCGCCTGCCCTACCCGCGCCGTCGCGCGCCCGCCCTACCTGCAGCCGCCATCGCGCGCCTGCCCTACCCTGCCGCCCGTCGCGGCCCTGCCCTACCTGCTCGTCGCGGCCCTGCCCTACGCGCCCGTCGCGGCCCTGCCCTACCCGCCCGTCGCGGCCCTGCCCTACCCGCCGTCGCGGCCCTGCCCTACCCGCCCGTCGTGAGCCTGCCCTGCCGCCGCCCGTCGAGCGCCGGCCCTACCCGCCCGTCGAGCGCCTGCAGCCGCCCGTCGGGCGCCTGCCGTACCCGCCGCCGGTGGCACCTGCCCTACCCGCCCCTGGTGAGCACTTGCCCTACCCGCGCTACCCGCGCACCTGCCCTACAAGTGCGCTGCCGCGCCTGCCTGCCTGCCTGCCGAGCCGCGCCACCCAGCCGAGCCGCGCCGCCCAGCCGAGCCGCGCCGCCCAGCCGAGTCGCGCCACTCTGCTGAGCCGCGCCGCTCTGCTGAGCCGCGCCGCTTTGCCGAGCCGCGCCGCCCTGCCCTACTGAGCCGCGCTGCCCTGCCCGCGCTGCTCCTACTGCTACAGCTGTTACTGCTGCTACTGCTGCTACTGCTGCCACTGCTGCTACTGCCGCCATGGCTAGCCCTACTGTTCTTACCTTCGATGCTGCGGGTCGTGCGGTTGATTTCGACGTTTGGGTAGATGACCTGCAGCTCTTTCTTCAGTGCGACTCTAGGGACGGAGTCTCGCTTTTCGATCACACGTCCGGCGCCTCTGTTGCACCTGCTGCCACTGCTGACAGTACGGTTCGCTCGCAGTGGACTACTCGTGACGCTGTTGCTCGCCTTGCTGTTCATAGTCACCTGCCGTCTGCTGAGCGCGCGCACTTTGGCCAGTACAAGACTGCTAAGTCTTTGTATGACGCTGTCGTCGCGCGCTACTCCTCCCCTGCCACTGCTGCCCTCAGCCGCCTCATGCTACCGTACTTGT